ACTGGCAGTAATTTTTGAGATGGGAAGCATAGAGAAATTTGCTGCTGAAGCTAAAGGTTCCAGTGATGGCTCAGTTCAGGAAGGAAATAAATCTAAAGAAGGATTCTCATACATACAAGGACTGAAGGGAAAAATTCTGAATCAAGTCAGAGAACTCTCTGCGGAAGCTGCTGGTAAAGGTTCTGCCAAGAAATATCTTAACAACCAGAGGAACTTGTTTAAGGATGTACTGGAGTTTCTCGAGGTACCGTTATTGTTGTCCTTCTCTTTGTGAACTTATGGTTTTTGGAACTTCTCACTCATGTTAACTGGTATTTACCTTGATGATGCCAGGACAGTTATAGTCCTGAGATATCAATGAAGATTGGTGGGGATGCACTGCAGACATCATCGTGGTCTCAGTTGATTCAGGTTTCTCTTTCACTTCCAGTTCTCCATTTCTGATGTTAGCCTATCAATTTTTGTAACAGTACCCAAATTTCAATCCAACAGTTGAACTTTTTGAGGCGCTTCCTTGCTGGAGGTTTCACTAAACACATGCAGGTTGGTGTTCCTTCAATGGAGTAGGCACCTGTTGATGCAAATTGCTCGTCTTTTATTTTCTAGTGGATTAAGACGGTAGTTTTTTGTTTCATTTGTACAGGAAAATGAATTCCTTCAAGATATTTTTGGGTTCACTCCAAAGAAAAGGAATCTTATAGGCGGTGAACACATATCCAATGGTGAAAAGGTTGGTTCGTATTTTCTACTTTATTAACAATTTTATCCTGACCGTTATGTACCCACTGTCTGAAAAAAAAAAATTCCACCTCGCTCCTCTTCACATCCACTTTTCTAAAAATAGAATCCGCTCCATTCAGAGTGGGGTGGTTCAGAATCCATCGGACCGTTTGAATTTTGCCATCCCTATATGAAACTAATATCTGCTTGCTTCCAATTCTGTGGCACAGAGAATGTACAAGTCACCAAATTCTGCTCTCAACAAATCAAGAACCCAGCTATTGAACAAGCAACGGATGCTATCCGCGGTAAGTATCTCCAATGAAGTTGATTTTCCAAATGCTGTATTAGTGAAATGCATTGTGAATGCTTCTGTGTATTCAGGGTAGGAACATTGGGCACTATTCTGTCAATGGAGGTGATGAAGATTCTTAATCTGCTGCCTGCCAAGCCAAGGCAGGAACACCATTAGTTCACATGCTCGCCTTTTTTATATTCATTGTAAGCCAATATATTGAAATTCAAATCTGTGTAACTGATAAACTAGGAACCATCTTGAGGAGATGAATTCATAATCAACAGACAAAATGTCATTCTTCTTGTACTCTTCATGTGATTATTTTAAAGGCATATTCATGTCTTGATCTACTCGCTGTTTTCTTTTTGCTCACGGTGCTATTTGTCTTTCATGGAAGCTAGTGAGGTGACCTTTTTGGTTCTCGGTTAACGTTTACGATTAATATTAGCATTCAACAATATATATATGCAAAATATTTATTTATTTAGTTGCATACATTAGTTAAATCTGTGAAAGCGATGATAATAATAATAAAAGGAAAGTATAATTATGTACATAATTATCCCATTCTTACTCTTTCATATAAATCAAAGTGTAATTAGAGGTCTACGCTCAAATTTAACTGTCTAATGACTTTCAAACACAACCTTATTGGGGAAAAAACTCTTTATTCGCAATTAAAATTAATCAGTTTCCTTTTCCCTTAGCCTTGACCAACACCATTCCATCTTTCTCACAGAAGCAGACTTGGCACGGCAGATCTTGTCTCCAGGGAAGTTGTGTGCAAGCCCAGCAGATCTTCATGAAGTGTTCCTTCGATAATCTTCTGAATAACCTAATAAACTTCAAGACATGCAACTATGATCCCTTTGCCATAATCAGAGAAGACTAAAGAGATCATTTATTTATAATTTCCATTAACCAACCAAACTCAAATCATGTTAATACAATAACAAAAATTCAATTTTGAATAGCAGTAAAATAATTTCAGCCTTTTCCACATAAACACAAAATGAATTTCCTTTATAAAGGATTCAAATTCAAACATACCAAATGAGAATAACAAAACTACGGATGACCTTTTTTTTATCGAATTAAGTTTAAACAAAAACGTTCGTTGTGTTATGTACCTGACAAAACTAATAACCTACGAGGCGACAAAAAAAGATTTTTGTACATGGAGATAAGCACAGCTTAATTGTTGGTGGTGATTCTCTTCTACTTTCTGGGTTCTAACCAATCTGTAGGTGATGCACAAGTATAATGCTATCCCCAAAGATCCATAGACTGTAAGCCACGGAGCTCATGCCCACTCAAAGTTTGTTTCTTTGGGCAAAACCAGGGCAATGAGACAATCAGATGCATTAGGCGGTACAACTGAGAGCATAGAACATGTTTCTTGCGTGTATGGAAGAATAAAAAGAAGCCTGGACCACATGGATTTCATTGCTGGGATCTTAATCACTCCTGCACAATCCCTTTGCTTCAAGTACGAAATAAAATCCTGAAACTGGAGAGAGAGAAGTTTCAAGAATACGCCAGATCATTATTTTCTAACATTTAGGCATGAATAAATTGTTCAGAAGAGAGCACTTGGCGAAACATAAGATTGCTTCAAGCTGAAGCCTAGATGTAGTAGTAGTAGGGAATAGAAAACATCAAGAGGCATGAACATGAAATCTAATACGCAAAGAACACAAATTCACATATTTTAGTTAGGGTAAAGTTTCTAAACATAAGATGACTTACGCCTTTATAGTCGCTTGCAGAAGAAGGGATCAGACAAAAAACTTATCTTTGCACCACAGAAAACATCACCCGTGTGACCAAAAACGTCGAAGTTAATTTGAGGAAAGCTATAAGCCTGCAAATAGGCTTTCAAGAAGTGAAGGAACTGGGAAAGTACCTAGGCATCCCTTTCCTACATTCTCGTGTGACCAAAGCTTCCTTCTAATACGTGGTTCAAAAGGTTCGCGACAAACGCTCGGGGTGGGCGGCATGTAGTCTCTCTCTTGCTGGTAGAATAATCCTTGCGAAAGTTGTGTTGTCAACAATCCCTTTCTACACCATGCAAGCAACATGGTTACCCAAAGGGACGTGTGAAGAGGTAGAAAAAGTCGTACGTAATTTTGTTTGGGGAAATGCTAAGGGGAAAGGAGGCACTAACCTAGTAAGTTGGAATTTGATGTGTAAGAATACAACGTAAGGGGACTCAGATTAAAAAAATTGGAAGTAGCAGAACACTGCTTTTCTTATGAAGGTAAGGTTCAATCTAATTCAAAAACCTGAACATTTGTGGGTGAAGATGCTCCTAACCAAATATAAATGGGAAGAGGTGTCCCTGAAACCATAGAACGAAGAGTAAGCTCAAGGCTTTGGAAAGGCATCTCCCTAGTTTGGAATGACTTTAAGGTAGGGTTAGCTTGGAACATTGGTAACGATAAAAACACGAGGTTTATGTGGGATCCCTGGCTGGCTGACTTGGGAGCTTTAATTGAACTAGTGTGCGATCAACTGGAAAACTCAACACCCGCACAAGTGAGCATAGTCATGATGGTCAATGAAGACGGGGAATGGAAATGGGATGAGATATCAAGCAGACTTCCACAAGGGGTGCGATTTAGAATTGCAGCGAAGATACCACCCCAACAGCATCAAACGGACGATAGGATTGGTTGGAAATTGAGAGTTGACAAACAATTTTCGACAAAATCTGCGTATGATCAGCTTGACGATACTACTAGTACTAACCAATCAGGAGAGAGCATATACAAAGTTTGAAAGAAATATCGAAGTTCCAAGGAATCCAGAGGATCCAAGTATTCCTATGACTGGTGGCTCACGAAAGAATCCTTACGATTAATAGTGAACGAAAATGACACCACATGACATTGCAAGACAACTGCAACATATGTAGTGCGGAAAATGAATCGATACAACACGTACTTAAGGAATGCCCAACAGCTCTTACAACCTAGATGACGCTGATAAAGCCAGACCGATTTGAGGAATTCATAGAGATAGAAACCAAGAGCTCGATTTATTGCAATCTTGCTTAAGTTGAGCACTTCGCCAAAGATACCGAGAATTGAGAGGTTCCCTTTGGTTCAATCCTTTGGTCTTATGGCAGAATATGAACATGCTTATATTTGACCCTAAGAAAACTGGAGGAGACACGATTTTAAAGAGGAGTCGAAGATTGCTCAACGAATATATAACAGCTCGGAAGTCAGCAAGGAAAGATAAAAGAGATCAAGACAATGAAGATAATAAAGACACTAGATGGTCACCTCCTCCACAAGGTTGGATCAAAGTAAACACAGATGGAGCACACGATAATAATGAAGGGTTTGCATCATGTGGAGGCATAATAAGAAGGCACTCTGGTACTTGGGTAGTTGGGTTCTCCAAATTTCTGGGAATATGCTCGGTGGTTGAATCTGAATTACGGGAATCTTGGAAGGTCTGCAGCAAACATGGCGTTCACGTGAAGAGAAAGTAATCCTCGAATGTGATAACTTGGAAGTAATCGAGATGTTGCAAAGAAGGCAGCATCGGAGCTCATCCTTTGCATTCCTTGATCGCATAATTGAATTGTTAGAGAGAAAGTGGTCTGTTTCGATTAATTATGTTTCGCGGGGGTAGTAATTTGATTGCAGATAGAATGGAAAAACTGGTACATATTGGAGAGAGAGAAGGCAAAGTCTACATTCATCCACCAGAGGGAATAATTCCATTAGTCCGCATTGAATGTAATACCATATGGCAAACCTGATTTGTAACTGATGTAGTCCCTACCCAATAAAAAAAAACAAATTGCCTCTTGATCCAAAAACTTAACTAATTTCACCAAGATTTCTCAATTTTACAAGTTACCAACTCTATATAATTTTAATTTATTTTTCTTTTAAAAATTTGTTGACAGTTAAACTGCAACCATGGTAAGCAATGGGAGCATACATCCACAGTTCATCAGAACTGTTCATAAAAGAGTGCAAATGTTCTTGTTGAGACCGATATCCACGCCATTGTAAGCAATGGGAGCATACATCCACAATTCAGCATCTTCAAGCATTGTGCTGATATCAACCTGTATTATCCTCATCAATGAACACGAGTTTTCTGGATCTTAATAGTGAAGTAGCAAGGGAAATCTCATTTCCAAAATATATATGAAAGTATAATATTGCTTATTTACCTTTGATCCGTTTGGGACAAGGTTCTGTAAAATTCTCAATCTCTCATTAATCCTTTATCTTCTTTTCTGCAATGACCAAGCAAAAGAAAAAAGATTTAGATATTTCGCCTTCTGCCAATGGACTCGTAATATAGGCAGGAAAAATCTTTCTCTTGCATAGAGGTTTTGGGGATCAGTTGCAGACCCTCTGCTGGTGGTTCTTCTCTTTCCATTCAAGTTAATAGCTTGAGAAACATTGTCATCATCTGAACTAGAGGTGCTACAACTCTGTCCGTCCCCTCCAATGTTGCTCTCTTCGTTGCCGTTTAAATTGTTCTTCCGGTTCTTATTCCACTGCACATCAAAACCATGAATTGCAACTTCTATAATCAAGATTATAGACATGTATGTATGTATGTAATATCTTAAAATTCCTTTTTTTCCTCTTACATCTTTTGGAAGCCGAGCTCTTTTCTTTGTGGTCTGATATTGATTTTATCCCCTTCATCATGCAGTTCCAGCAAATCGAACTTCCTCTTGAGCAGCAATTCGTTAGCATTATCAGTGCTCAAGTCTTCAATGACATTAACGGAGTCTCTCGTTGCAATGTCGGGGAATGGTGAGGGAAACCGAGTAGGTAATTTTATCATTTACCCCGTCAATGTCCGTTGAAATATCCAAGGACATGGTGATACCATTTGTTACAGCAATATGATTAGAATCACTAAGGAAACAGGTTTCATGATTTAGCTGGGGAACAAAGACACTACTACTTGAATTCGTACTCCAACTACTTTCCTGAGATTCGTAGTGAAAATTAGAATCAAGAGCATTGGAAGAACAGAACCAACTCTCACTGGACAAAAAGTCGACGGATCATCGTGCACTGGAGGAAAGGGAAACTGATGAAGAATTCGGTGCATGAAATCAAGCTGACCTTCTTCATTGGAGGACATTCTGTTAAATGAGTCCCAATCTTCATCATGAAAAACTGCAAGCGACTCCATCTTCTCTCTTGTTTTGTGATGAGGGAAAGATGGTTGAGGTGAGCAAAAAAGTAGAGGCATATTTATACCCCCCAAATCATAAGGAGAATGTTAGCAAGGATCGACTTACATTAGTTTATCGAGTTATTAATTCCAAAACCATTATTCTGTTGGAGTCCAAAACCAGGCAAAGTACAACTCATAGGACTGCTAAGTTCATGCATTAAATTAATTCGAAGACTTGAGCCCTTAAACCTGATAAAATTGTAGTTAAAACGACTTAATGGTCCAATAAATGTGGTTACTTAAGCAGGTTAGATAAGCCCGCGTAAGAAGTAAACTACTCTTCCCTTGAATATAATAAACATCAGGAATGTCGAGAAGATTAAACAAACAAGTGTAGCTACAGGACGGACCTGCACATCGTGGGAATTGAGTCTGACATTCTTTAACTAAAATGAACTTAAAAATCCCGACACAGTAACAACCAAACTCCTCTCCTGTTCTAGATGTCAACCGGGGGGAAACCAACGGTTGTTCCTTTGCATTTGACTTGATACCTATGGTCAATCAAATCTTATATATCGGTACGACTGGTACAAAATCGTCTCTTTACAGCTGATCAGTTTTAACGGTTCAGGTCAAATCCAAGCCATTGCAAAGGAAAATTTCATATGCACCAAGCCACGTTAATGAACAAAGCCATAACCACAAACCGAAATTATTATGGTTGAAACCCTTGTTGAGACTGACGTGTCAGACAGAGTCCATTATTTAGGTGTTGTCTGGAACCTGCACCAGCCGTTGCACGACCTTTCCAAACAAACATGTCGGAGGAACTTAAGGAGAAGTGGCATTGTTAACTTGTCACAATCTGATATTAAGACTTAATTACTTGTATTAATGTAGATTTAAGTATTTTACTTACATTAATACAAAATATAAATAATAGGGTAAAGTACACAAATGATCAACTGACTATAAGATATTACTTTATTGAGTCTTCCGACTATTAAAAGTTACAAAATGATCCTCTAATTATAGGATTTTGTTTTGTTGAGTCTACCGGTTATTAAAAGGTAAAAATTGGTTACCTAATTATTCATATATTCCTAACTCGTCTTTTTCATTTAAAAAATTGATGGTGGTCTAAATTGGATGTTAACCTGATATCTGGGATATAATAAAATTAGATTTTAATGATGTCTAATGACATCGTTATTACTTTCAAGCACTGGCTCTACAAGATAATATTTAAAGCAATAGCTCGACGGTATAATATAAACAAGGATTCGATCCACAAAATATCACTCAAACGATTTTGGGATAAAATTTTATGATACTTCAATCAGCAGGCTAACGTCCAACTCGGACGATTGTCAAGTTTTTAAATGAAAAAGATGAGTTCAGAACATATAAATAACAAGACAATGGAGAAGAACTTGTTCTCTTAAAAGGCAACAGTACCAATGAGATCATTGGAGAAGAACCGAATTCAGCTTGGAAACAAGACACTGGGATTAATAACATAATGTCTTGTAGTGTAAACCAACAAGGCCACGGGCTCCACTCAAAATGATACAATGCAAATCAACCATTTGTTACAAGCAGTAATATAAGACTGTCCTCCAAACTAGCTCTTAGAGAAACAGGTAGCAATAAAGTCAAAATCAAAGTCATCATACTTGGTTCGATCTAATGTGACCTTAATTTACCAAATGTGGCCCTTTTATTCAACAAAGTAGTTTTATTGGGCTTTTTTGGCTAAAGTCCTAGCTTTGTTTCAACACTCAACAAAGGCCAACAAACAATCTCTTCTTCCACCCCATCATTTGTGAGATCAAGCCGAGCTTACAAGAACAAACAGTGGTTTGTCTCCTAGCCGTTCCCGGCCCTGAATTATAAATTAAGAAAACGTTAAAGAGAAAGTGACTGACAAGGCACAAATGACAAGAGAAACGTATAGTATATTTTATGCTCGACTCATAGCAGATGAAACGTCCGAAACCAACAGAAAACACAAGTCAGTAATTTCAAAGCTCGACCAATTGATGATACAATTAGAATGAAATTATATTCTAGTGCTCCAATAGGAGTAATTATTGGCTTTTTGTCAACACAGGCCAAAATTTCCATGCAGACATACATCTGTGCAACCATGCCTCAATGTTGTAGTAGAAATTTGCTATTACTGATAATGATTACATGAAACTTATTGCAATAGAACTTTGCTAGTTTTATTTTAATAGAAATGCAATAGGCCGTGTTGCCTAAATCTCCAATGAACATAACAAATGCAAAAACAAGTGAAAGAATGTGCCTTTTCAGACCTTGCATCATGTTCATAAAGAACAGCTATGGTTGTAATAAAGAAGACATTGAAATTATTATATCTATAAGAACATATAGTCTGGCACAACATGCTCAGGCATAGGCCTGCCATATGAAACCGGCAAAGATATTCATTCTTTCACCTAGTATGGCACCAAAAAAGCCCATCATCAGTTTTAATCACAATAAACAGTATCTGGCAGACTCTTTTCCTTTTTTACAATGCATTAACACTTGTTTTATTCTATTTTATTATTTTTCTCCTTTTTCCCTTCTAAAGCTGAATAGAGTTCTAATTTTTTATCATCAATCCCGAGATAAGGTCAACTACAAGCTGCTCCATAGCACATTTATGGAATAACTTTAGAAGTTTCAAACTATTGAGTCTGTGTAAATAAAAGCACTACTGAAGGGACCAATTTGGACATTGGCTTAACAAATTAGTGACTAACAGGCAGCATGTAGGTCTGAGATTAACGACACACACCTTCAGCTCGGGTAATTCAATAACACAAGCACACTCCACCACATGCACCCCTTCGCGCTCTGCAAAAGACAGTCAATCATATAAACAGCAATGCCCAAACAAGATAAACAGGACCAAGAGGATGTTCAAACGCAAGGAGAAGACAACCCTAAGGCAATTCCTCGTACTCCTTAAAATCACAGGCCCACTTATAGTTGAAAACAAAAGTGATGTGATCAACAAAGCCATTCTCTACCATATTATGGAACATAATAATGAAAATAAGAAGGGTCTCAAATTCAGATATAAATTGAAGTACCAAGTAGCCTGATTGCAGCTCCCAAGGTTCCACCAGTGGCAATAAGATCATCTATTATTAAAGCACGTTCTCCTGCTTGGACAGCACCAACATGCATTTCCATTTTATCTGTTCCATACTCCAAAGAATACTCCTCCGATATAACCTCCCCTAATATATATCAAAATTAACAATTAATACAAAGACCACAGTCTTTTGTATTGTTATTGAATCTCTTTGGGAAATTGGTAATTATCAGAATCGAACAAAACACAAAATTATCAACAATGAACCACATTATCATAAACATCAGTTCAACATTGTGGATGTTTAATAGCTGATCAAAGCTTCAATGCTGTTGTTAACAACTTGAAGTGACTGAGGTGTACAGTTCATTATGATACAAAGAAAGAAGCAGAAGACATACCAGGCAATTTATTGGGTTTCCTCATAGGAACAAACTTTGCCCCAATGGCCAATGCAATAGGTGGGCCAAAAATGAATCCCCTTGCTTCTACACCTGCATTTTGCCATCAGTATCACATCAACTACAAAAATCCCAAACACATACAACATATCTCAAGAAAATGCATAAACATTATTACAGTAAGATAGATCAGTCAACATTATTGAATGAAATTTGACCAGTTTCACAGAAGCATTATAATGTCAGTTTTTAGGTTCTTGATCTTATAAGCTTGGCAACCAAACCCGTCAATCAAGTGGTTTTCCTGTGTTCAAAAGCAGATTAATACTATGTATTAAGAGAAGATATTTACCTGCAACAACAGAGATATCTTTCCCTCTGTACCTCTCAACAAACAAATCAATAGTATCACGAAATGCCTTGGTATCCAGAAGCAAAGTTGTTATGTCCTGAAATATTATCCCTGATCCAAATGAAGGTAACCCTAAAGAATTAATAAAGTAAAAAAAAAAAAGAAGAAACAAAAGGCAAAGAAGAGTGCAGAGTTGTTTTCTTTTTTACCAGGTTTGGGGAAGTTTGGGATGACTCGAATCGCTGAAGAAATTTTAGAAACCCGAGGGTCTTGTTCATCTTGAGACGCCATTTTTGGTTGATTTGCAATTGAGTCACTCGCTGCTCAAACTCAAAACAGAAGGCAACTAATCAGATAGGTAAGTTGGTGTGAAAGAGAAAGGCCGCCGGTTGACACTTACCGTACCAACAAAAAAAAAACCCTAAAGTTCAAATAACATAAATAAATAGGTAGCCACTAAAAATCCATTTATGTCTATAAGAACAAGCTGGCCCTGGCTTAAATATCTTCACCCTGTGCCATTTTTACATTAATAGCCTTCAACAAGCACACTATTGCTAGTACCGGGGACCGAGAGTTAGTCAAGGAAACAAAAAAATTACCGGAGCAGAGCGGAGGAAGGAGGTTACGACTGTAATTTGGCAAGTGAAATACAGGCGGCTGGTTAGAAGAGAAAGGACCGATCCAGTCGCCGTCTCGTTTGGGGAATACAGCGCTACCAGACAGAGCTGTCGTTGTTGACAATTGAGAATAGAATGGATTTGAACAAGGGAATATTAGAGCCCTTTGCATCATTCTGCGCCACCGAAAAAGAAAAGAACAGGGTCAAGGCTCAAGAGATTAGAAAGATCACAGGCACGAGTTTCGAATGTTACTTGAAAAAAAAGAACCTTTGACGGCAACGTGCAAATTCCCCGAATAGTAGGGGGTAACTTGGTCTATATGCTTATAATGTTCAACAATGTCGCAATCTTGTTACGCAACAGCCCCATCTAAAACAGTTTTTCCGACGCTGTTAAAGAAAGATAGTTTATGCCTTCATCCATTGGAGCAACACTGCTTCAACTCTTTAGGCTCTGCAGCCATCGATTTGCGTATCACTCTAAAACTCTTGTATTATATGTTGCATGAATGAGTGAAAGCTTAATTAACACCCACGTGTATTTCCTAGTTTTTAACTTATGCCGTGCTGTTAAAGTATGTGATCAGCTCGATGCCTGATTTGGACAATAAATCTAAAACGAGAATACCATGTGTTGTGCTTTTGTACTCTGCAACAGTCATCAGAATTATTGTGTTTGGGCAAATGGCTTTTCTTTTGCTTCATATTGATTTTACACACATTCTAGTGGCCAATAATTCAACATTTCTGGAAGATATAATTTTTCCAAATAGAGTGCACCTGGCACTCTGGAATCTCAAGGAATCACCGTAATATTTTCCAGTACTTGATGGATTCAGTGTTTTTTATCCGACAATTGGACAGCTCTTGGGCGATTCATGTTGACGAAGATGAACCATTCGTCGGCGCCCGCGTGTTCCCGATGTTTCGCGTAACTTGCTCAAAGTTTCCAGACTAAGTAACCAAATTGTATTTTTCCAGTGAATTAAAATTGTAGGTATTCCATTGATAAGTTTAATATGTGATTAAATATGTATTTTCTTTCAAATTTCACGTGAATCACAAGTGCACAGTATTAGTAGTTGCAAACCATACTGGTTATAATCAAGCAACATTTATAAGGTGGGGTATTAATATTTATATAATAATAGAAATAAATTTAGGTTTTAGTCTTATAATACACTTAAACACGTTTAAAAAATTCAAAATTAATACAATAATATCATATTAATTAATGAAATTATTAATAACAAATCAAATTAAAAATTTATGAGTTGTTTCCAATTCCTAGTAATTGCCAATTTATAGGCTCACATTATTAAACAATGCCATCATCTGAAAGGATGTTGTTCACATGACTATTAATAAGTTTGGTTCACATATTATATTAGTTAAGAATGATGGAATTGATTCGGAAATCATAATCATTGGGCAATGCAATTGATTGAGTCGGCAGCCAGCAATCAGCTGCGTTGACACAAGGCCTGGCTGGCGATTTCGCCGCGTTTTGATTTTGAGCTCTGTTTAGGTGTGACCTGTTTTTTGTATATTATCCTTCCAAGTGTTCTCGGTTTAATTATAGAACAAAAAGGAGGCACCTTCACTGGGTTTGTGTTGACCCACCGAGGAATTGCTCTTAGCCACCCACCAAGAAAACTCAACTGCGTTCAACCTTTTGCCAAATAACCAACTATTTGTCTATTTTAGCATCACTTTTCTCGGTTCACACCACTTGTCACGCAACCTCCCCTTTAAAACCCCTCACTCAGTCCTCACTGTCCTTCAACTCACCTTTCTCAATTTCAGTATTCTTTCACTCCACCCAAAACTTTTATTACACTCTCCTCTACGTCTCTCGAATTAGATCAAAAGGTTCTCCCTTTTTGTGCCTTTTTTTCAAGTGTTCGGAAATCAGATGGCTTTAGAAGCTCTTAACTCTCCAACAACAGCTGCTACGCCACATTTCCACTTTGAAGATAGCAACTCACACTCCCTGGAATCATTCACCAAGAGTAAGCGTTCAAAGCGACCACGTTTCGATCATGTTACCACCGAGGAAGAATACCTCGCTCTGTGTCTGATCATGCTAGCACGCGGTGGCGAAGCCAACTCCTCCAACACTGCCTCCCCTCCTACTCCAACAGAGCAGAATCTTAGTTACAAGTGTACTGTTTGCAACAAGTCCTTTAACTCTTACCAGGCTTTGGGTGGCCACAAAGCCAGCCACCGTAAGCTTTCAGGTGGCAACGAAGACCAGTCAACAATCAATCCCGCTAGTGCCGGTGGAGTTATTTCTGGCGCGTTGAACCCAAGCAGTAAGTTCCACGAGTGTTCCATCTGCCACAAAAGCTTCCCTACTGGCCAGGCCTTGGGAGGCCACAAGCGATGCCACTATGAAGGTGGGGCTGGGAATAGTGCTAGCTGCATGACCACATTCGAAGGAGTGGGCTCAACCAATACCATGAACCATATCAGCCAGAGGGTCGAGTTTGACCTCAGCCTTCCAGCTATGCCAGAATTCTCACCGGCTAATTTCTTTGTATCTGGAGCTGATGATGAGTTGGAAAGTCCACACCGCGCTAAGAAGCGGCGTGTGTTGGTGCAGATGCCACCGCGCTAAGAAGCGGCGTGTGTTGGTGCAGATGCCACCGCGCTAAGAAGCGGCGTGTGTTGGTGCAGATGCCACTCAAAATTGAAGTCAACTAAAGAATTCCAAGTTAGAAGCCTTATCTTTAGTTGCGTAGGAATTAATTAAATTTTCGACCAGATTGAATGTATTTCTTTTGGTTTTCTAAGACATTTTATTCTCTCTCTGTACATAAACTTGAGCAATTCGTCAGTGACAATGCTGCCGTGTTTATTAATTAGTCAATTCAATTTGGTACTTAAGTCCAGCTCACTGTTGTACAATTTTATTTTGTTCTTTTACTCTTAACAAGCGCAATGAGAGGGGCCTCAGTTGCTGGTAAGCAGGCAACTGGCAAATGAAGGGCTGTTGAAGCTTTGTTGCATGTGCAGTAGCTGCACTTGGAGTGGTTTTAAAAATCAGGAATTCCAGGCCACGTTGTTGATGAGTATCATGTTTATCGATATTGGCCTAATATTGGGGATTATATAATTAAAAGTGGACAGGTGACAGTGAGTTTATCAGATATGCATGTACACGGTGAGCTTTCTCTTTTCTTTTGGCACACCGTTTTCGAATGGGGAAAGAGATTAGGACGACATGTGATTAATGGATCTCCATGTATTCTCTTCATTTTCTTTTTGATAACTTTATCATTCAGTGAATGGTGATTCGGAGTTTTGGATTCTTCTTTGTGAATTATGAAGCCACCATTTGTCCACTCCAAGCGCCAAGGGTTTAGTGCTTTGTCTCGTTGGCTAATGGCTAGCCTTTAAATTGTATATAAAGGAGTAGCTTAAACTTTTAAAAGTACAATTAAAGCAATGGCCGGGGAGGTTAATCCCTTTAACCTGCCCACTCAAGCTAAGAACTTTGGTGTTCCAACGGAGTTTTCCTCCTAAAGAAATTGAAACACAAAAGCAGGCGTATTAAACAATTAAGATGCCCAAGCTCAGCCGCTAGTACTAATTAGTAGCAAAGGATTACTTGTGGACGTACAGCCAAAGCATAGCAATAGTTGGGAAGTGATAAGGCAGCCTTTGATAAATGCATTTGTGGCTGCCGTCACAGGTCGGCCAGATAGATCACTCGTATTAATTGAACAATACAAGCACAGTTGGTCCATGATTAACATAAGGTGGTTGGCAACCCGACTCTCTATATATTCTATAAGAAAATTGTGGGCCATTTTGTTTAATCGGATTAACTAATGAAATCAAATTGTCACAAATCAAATTCATTTCAACTACATATATTAATTTTTATCAGTAGTACCATTTGCTTTCAAGTTCCAGTTTGGCCAATTATATAATCTTTCTTGTGGATACCTAAAATCTCAACTCTCAACTACAACCTAAAACGTCGGCGTTCTAGCTTGGTGGCCAAAGTCAATTAAGAGTAAACAAACCAAACATTGACCTGAACTCAAGGTAGATGACTCAGTGAGGAAAATATGTTCTAGGCAAGTGGTTTAGCCACTTTGTCCCTTCCTACATATTTAAGCCACAAATACCAACATTATTCACCGCTTGATACGTTCCTAATCCATCGAAAAGTTGAAGCTTGACAATTGAAAACCAGACCAGATTCTATGTAATTCCATAAACTTTATTAAAACTTTACCACTTGTTCTTTTCCCTTTGTATATTCAATAATATATCGAAACAAAAAGTGGTCCAGAACTAGGACATGACATGTATCTGATTTGCATATATAAACTTAGTCTGCTCTAAATGACTCTATACCTAACCTGCATTCTTAAGATAGGCATCTCAAGCTGGATCTTCGATATGATGCAGTACTGAGTTGCATTCTTCCATTTTATAAACAAAACTTGAATGCGTACAAACAATTTGTGCTATATAAATTTTGTATAAGAAATAAGAAATTGGATCCAAATGGAACATGTCTCTTAAGTCAACTTCCTTTTGTTATTTTCAAAGAATTCAAGCAGAACCTTGATTACAGTATAGAAACTTGAGCTTCCCAGCCTGGCCAGTTGTTGGTATTGTAAGTGGAACTTGATTATTTGTAAAATTAAGGGGCTAAGATGATGGAAGAAAGGTTTGCCCATTCTGGGATGGGAATCAGATCATGGAGTGGAGCATACCTGTCTTTCGCATTTACCATTAATAAAAGAAATGATATACATCAAAGGGTTTGAATCTTCCTTTTTTTAAAGGACCAAAAAGAAAAGAAAGTAATGATCATGCACCACGACGTGGTTCGCGGAAATCGGCAAATGCCTTCAATAGTGGAATGGGAACTCGGAGATAGTGACACAGTCTCATGTTGTGCTATCAAACCACCTACGCTTTTTTAGTTTTTTTCATTCAAAAGTACAATGAGGTGAAACTCCTCCTCTACTTCAGGTTCTGCAAAAAGTACATGACTTCTGTTTGGCTAAACAAAAAGTAGCTAAACGCCCACCGTGGGGCTCGACCCACAACCACGAGATTAATAGCCTTGCACTCTACCGACTGAATTAGACGGGTCATTCTTTATTTTTCTAGTTTTTCAATTAAATAATCTAAAATATTTCGTTGAGGGGCCGAATCGAGGCACAAACTTTATCGCAGGTGTAGGCTTTAACTGAGCCATTAGATGCTTTCATCTATGTTTTATATTAGACATCCGATGCTTCCATCTTGACTTTCTCTGGAGGTTCAGTGTATTGAAAAACTGATGGAAATGCTGTAAAATGTTATTGAAGTAACTGTTGACGAAAACGGGTAAAGAAAACGAAAGAACACGAGAATTTTACGAGGTTCGGCAATGTGCTTACGTCCTCGGTGCCTAGGCGGCGCTAGAATTTTATTCAATGATATTTTAGGTCTAGGTTACATCTCTATTTATAATAGAAAACCCTGGTACATAGTTACAAAATCAACCCTGTACCGTACCGCAGGGGCTACGCCCCCGCACCCCCAACCCACATAATTTGTAACCCCACAACGAGACTTTCTTTGTAAGGACAGTTGATGTTCGCTTCGCTCACTCCGCTCCATCTCCTGTCCTCTTTACTGGTATATTTATGAGCCATACCTAACAAATCTCCACCTTGGCGAATATCCTGCCCCTTGGAAACTTCAATGTGGGTTGGGTTACCTTGTTTCTTTAACAACTCGAAACATTCAACAAGTCCAAGCAATGCTTGAACTTGTCTGTCGTAACTGGCTTGGTGAACATATCAGCGGCATTCTCATCAGTATGTACCTTCTGAAACAAAACCTCTCCAGATGCAACCAACTCTCTGATCTTGTGGAACCTTACATCAATATGTTTAGTTCTAGCACGATACACCTGATTCTTAGCCAAGTGAATAGCACTTTGATTATCACAAAGCAACTGAACTCCACCTTGTTGAACACCCAACTCCTTCACTAAACCAGTAAGCCATAAAGCTTCTTTTGCAGCTTCAGCCGCTGCCATGTATTCAGCTTCAGTTGTAGATAGTGCCACGACAGATTGAACAGTAGACTTCCAGCAAATAGGCCCTCCACCAAGAGTAAACACATACCCTGTCGTAGATCTTCTATTATCCAAGTCACCTGCATAATCTGAATCCACATATCCTACAACCAAAGGATTATCCCGCTGACTCCCAAAAACAATTCCATGTCCCACAGTACCCTTTAAGTACCGAAAGATCCACTTGACTGCATCCCAATGTTGCTTACCAGGTTTAGACATGTACTTACAAACTTGACTAACAACATGAGCTAAATCAGGACGAGTACATACCATCGCATACATCAAGCAGCCAACAGCATTAGAATACGGAACCTTTGTCATATTTTCAGCTTCCTTATCTGTCTTAGGGCACTGTTCTGATGAGAGCTTAAAGTGATTCGCCAATGGAGTGCTAACTGGTTTCGCGCTGCTCATCGCAAACCTTTCTAGCATTTTCTCAACATAACCCCGTTGAGATAGCCGCAGTTTCCTTGAGTCTCTGTCCCTGCAAATTTCCATTCCAAGAATTTTCTTTGCAGCACCTAAATATCGGTTGTAGCCAATCTTGATCATATAGGAGTCAAACCGTTTATACCACTGTCTCGGAGACTGTTTTAACCCGTACAAAGATTTCTTCAATCTGCAAACTAAATGCTCGTTTCCAGGTTGAGTGAAACCTTCAGGTTGCCGCATGTAGATCTGCTCCTCTAAATAACCATGCAAAAAAGCAGTTTTAACATCCATCTGCTCTAAATGCAAATCCCAACTAGCCACCAATGCAAGTACTGCTCGGATTGAAGTGTGCCTGACCACAGGAGAAAAGATTTCATCATAATCAACTCCTTTCTGCTGTGAAAAACCCTTCGCTACCAAACGAGCCTTGAACTTCTCCCCCTCTTTTTCTGTTACTACTGGTTTCTTCTTATACACCCATTTGCAACCAATCGGCTTCTTACCCTCAAGAAGGGGAACTAACTCCCATGTGCGATTGTGATTCAAAGACTCCATCTCCTCAACCATGGTTGCCATCCACTTGTCGTTTTCCTGACTAGTAACGGCATCATGAAAAGTAACTGGATCATCACTGCTAACAGTAAGTGCAAAAGATACCAAGTCTTCAAAACCCAATCTGTTCGGAGGCTTTATATTCGTCCGTCTCACCCTGTCTCTGGCGAGACTATAATCCTGCAAATCATCCGTAGTGGAACCACCAGAAGTCAGTTGAGAAGTTTCTGGTTTCTCAACTGGAAACTGCTCGAAATCTACCACTGTCGTGTCTTGCTTCTGCTGCAACATAGACTGTTCATCAAAAACGACATCTCTACTAATCACAACTTTCTTCGCAACTGGATCCCAGAACTTGAATCCTTTGACACCTTTCTTGTAACCCAGAAAAATGCACTCCTTCGATTTTGCATCAAGTTTGGATCTCTCATCAGCAGGTACATGCACATAAGCAGGACAACCAAAAATCCGTAAGTTATCAAAACTAACATCATGACCAGTCCATACCTCTTCTGCAACTTTCCCAGCCAGCGATGCCCTTGGCGATCTGTTGATAAGGTAACACGCCATGTTAACAGCCTCAGCCCAGAAGTGTTTGGGAAGCCCCGCATTCAACCGCAAACATCTGGCTCTTTCATTCAATGACCTGTTCATTCGTTCCGCAACACCATTCTGTTGTGGTGTCTTGCGCACTGTAAAATGCCTCTGAATCCCATGCTCCTTACAGAATTGT